ATGTAAAATATATAACATATATTCATAATATGAAATATTTGCTGTAAATTGAGAAGACAGTTTGCATTGAGAGATTATTTCTGCCATCTACTTGTCTTTCTGTAAAGTAACAATTAATGTAAATGATCCTGTTTCATTATAAATACAGTGTCAGGAGAGGAGATCACATGCCTACTCCTTTCTCTGAGGTAACTGTGTGTTCCTTTGCTGGTCACCTCATGCAATGTTAATGGTGATACACATCTGTGCATGCTTCTCCTGAAACAGGTTTGAACACAATGAGCATTCTAATACAGTTTTTGGATGAATGTTCAGCTCTCTGGAAGAAGCGTACCTGGTATTCTTGTCCTGGTACAGAGCTACATGGAATGCCTTGCTGCTCCTCACATTATGAACTGATAAATCTTTAATTAACTGAGTATTCCATAAAGGATCCCACCATTCATCATGATAATAATATTATATTATTTAATGATTTAAAAACTGTAAGAATTCCTGCTCAGACTTACAACCTCTAGAGGTTGGTATCGTTTCAAGTTCTGGATTTCAAAATATACCCTTTATCTTCTGTCAGATATAAAACAAAATAAGTATTATGTATTGCATATCTCACCACTGAGACTTACTCAGAATGCTGTGTAGGCAACCCATGCCTTGTACATAGGATTTAGCAGTGTGTTACATAACCTATAAGACCCAATTGGTTTCAGCGTAGATTTGGAGAGGACAACTCCAGAGGTTTAAATTTTGAGTATGTGGCATTTCACTTGTTTCATTAACCAGCATTGTTAACTGAGAATTAGTTCTGGATTTGTCATTAATCAAGAGACATAAAATCAACTGTTGTGATTTTAGAGCAAGACTATGACATGCTCAAAAAAATGCAAAGCAATAGCTGTTTACTCAAAAAACTTGCAGCTTCCGGGCCCCAGTGTCCTGCTAGATGTGTTTGTGAACTTTAAGTTTCAGACAAAACTGGAAATGCTAGACTAGCCCATACTGATACATTGATTGGACTGGACAATAGACAGTTTTAAGGCAGATTTGGTACTTATAGCATAGGACCCTAGCAGAATCAAATGACATCTTAATTTACTTGGAGTTATCAGTAGAAGTTTCTAAGATTATATAATTAAAATTCCTCAGTGTGAATACCTTATTATTTAAACCTTTGAATCCAATGGCTTGATAGCCTCTTGTTGAGTCTAATGATTTAACTGTAGACTAAATTCTATTTTTCCTGTACATGATGCTTTTGCCTATGAATAATGATAGCTTCCATCCTGCTTCCATCTCCTAATTCTCAGCTTGATCAAATCTGGCCTTCCTACTATCCACAGGTAAATCTGTAGAGGTAGCATCTAGCTCCCTGAATTGTCCCTGTTGCTTGTTTCCAGATCTACAGATTATCTCAGTGTCTAAAATACAGAGAGTGATAGATGAATTTTCTCTCAGAAAGACAGCTTGCATTCAAGAATTACTGAAAGATTAAATATCATAAATGGTGATAAATATTACAAACGCTGTGAACTTTTTGTGTGTAGCAATGACAGTCAATTAGAACCAGGTCTGCTTGCTTTAGTCTGTGATGCTCCGACCAGTGAATTACACAGTTAGAGTTCTAGTTCTCATTTGTGTTACAGATTGTCTCCTACTTTCTACTCTGTACTCTTTCAGCTTCTTGCTATTTATCTTTCTTTGCTTTTAAAGATTCTTTGCTTTTCTTTATGAATAAGAATGTTTTTGCTCACAGTTGTGTATGATAGTATACTTACCTGTCCCAGGAAATGTACTTACAAATGGTTCTGAACCAGCTGGTGCATGCTGAGAAGTAAACCCAGGTCCTCTTCAAGAGTAGTCAGTTCTTTTAACTCTGAAGGAATTTCTCTAGCTTTCTTATCTCCTCTTCTAAGAATTTCAATTTTATTTCTCCACCTTATTCTTCAATTTAACTGTCCTTGATAATAGTATTACAGGTGAGCAACCTCTAAATATTCATTTTCCCTGAGAAGTCTCATTAATCTCTTAATGGATTTAGGAGTAATAAAAGCATATTTGCATGACATAAAACTGAATAAGATAACATGCAGCAAAATAGAATAGATTATTTTAGGCTATTTTTCTATGGATTAACAGTCTGTTTTCCGTTGTGGATGGATAGTTGGTGTGCAGATAATATGTCTATCTATAATCTGTCTTTCTGTCTGTCTATGTATTCATGTCTGTGCACTAGCATCCCCAAATCTAAGGTTTCTTAGTTTAAAAAACTGTGTTTTCTTGAAGTTTATTTTTTTATATTAGAAGTATCATAGCTTTTATAGTAGCAAACACAGGTTATATATTTGGAAATAGCTAAGGAATTAGATAGCAAATGTTCACTGTGATGAAAACATTAGAAGAAGTAAAAGTTCATACTGTGACCCTTTTGCTTTTATGGACATACAGGTGGAAAGGGAATGTATCTATGTTCATAATATGAACCACTTTATCAAAAATTTTTATCTTAATACGTGTTTTAAGTGCAGGTTTGTAAGCAAAATGTTTTCATATCTGGTGACATCAGATGACAGAAGGTGGTACAGAAGTCGCTGGAACTAAATTTAAAGGTAAGTGGTGGTCACCATGTGGGTGCTGGGAATCAAATCTATGCCATCTTTAAAAACAACAGCCTCTGAGCATTCTTTCCAGCTCCATGAACCACTTTTAAAGATATATGTTCTCCAATTTGCATATACAATCAATATACTGCAATTCATATTCATAATATAGTATCTAAAGTTGATAAACCCACTTTAGCACTTATGTAGAGTCAAGGGACAACAATAGCTAAAAAAAATCAGGAACCTAGAAAAGTATATTATATTATCTAACTTGATTGTTCTGTCTTGTATTAAACAGTAATTAAGTCTGTTGATGCACAGAGAGACAAGTAGAGAAATTGATCCCCATAAAGAGACAGGAAGAACTTACCCAAACACAGTATTTTAAAAACAACAGAATGAAATATAGATCTCTATAGTTTCCAGTGTCATGCTATTGATTCTTCATTAATACCACTTCTGGGAGCCTGTTTCAGACAACCATTTTCTCCCTCTCATTTCATATAAACAGTTGTATATTTGACATCACACAGTGTGATTAAAAGTCATATAAGTGTTGTTCAACATTGTTTATATTTGTAAGAAGAACACTGGAACTAGGAGCCATTAGAATTCTAAGTGAAGTTCTGCAGACAACTGAGAGCATGTTATTTCCAAACACATCAGAGAATCATGAATAAACAGCCTTCTCTTTGTCTGACGCATGGGGTCTAGTTTTTCTGAGAAAACCAGGAAACATTTCTGCTGTCAGCTTTTCTTAGTAATATTTCTCTATCATTTAAACACTGGTGATAGAAACATATTTTCTGATTTTTAAGTAATGTGTGATGCAATGCCCACAGAAGTTTACACTGTTCTGTATGAGTCCCAACTATTAATCCAATTTAGACTCCATACAGGAAATGTCATCAGAAAATACATCAAAACTCTTAACTGCTGGAGATGAAGAGAAAGAAAAGCAGTATTGGTAAAGAGAGGACATTTTTACCTCTCTTTAGTTCTACAAAAGTACAACAAATTAGTTTTACAAAAATGAATGTCTCTCCGTAAGCTTTGCTAAAAATCTGGTGACAAACGAGAAACAGTTTCGGTGAGTGACTCATGAGAAGGAACAGCTGGGGCAGTCCAGCCTCTCACTTCTGCTTCCATGGAGGTTTGTGTAATGACTTGTATCACTGTGGGATGATACTCATTAGTCTGAAGACAGTAATAAGTTGCAATGTCTTCGGGCTCCACACTGCTGATAGTGAGAGTAAAATCTGTCCCATACCCACTGCCACTGAATCTAGATGGGACCCCATCTGCTAAGTTTGATGCATGGTAGATCAGGCGCTTAGGAGCTTTCCCTGGTTTCTGCTGGAACCAGTATAAATATTTGTCAACACTCTGACTGGCCTGGCAAGAGATGGTGACTCTGTCTCTCAGAGATGTAGACAGGGAAGATGGAGACTGGGTCATCTGGATGTCACATCTGCCACCTAGGAATGGATATACAATAAATAGCCACATAGTGAGAAAAGAATATACCACTACAAATTCCAATCAACACTAATTTCAGTGTAACAGTAAAGTTCATATTATGCTCCATTTTTTTTTTTACCTGGAAACCAGAGCAACAGGAGTCCAAGGAGCTGAGCAGGGGCCCTCATGTCCATGCTGAGTCCTGACTGCAATGAACTGAACAGAATGTTACTGGTATATGAATAAGTCCTCAAGGCTGTTCAGTGAGTAGATGCAAATCATTAAGAACCAGTTAAGGCTGGGAACAGCTGCAAGTTTACATATCTCAGTAACTGAACACAAGTGCAGAGTCCCTAGATGCTTAAGATCAGATCACACATTTGCCTCCAGAGACTGAATTTCTTTTTTTAAATTTAAAAATATAGATGAAATATTGGAGGTCATTTGAAAACTTATATAATATGTAAGCTGTATTTTAATAATATATTTCAAAGATATATTAGTGGTAATGTAAACAAATATCTTACTGTCAATGAATATACAATAGAGCATGTACTATTAAACTTTCATCTCATTCAAATAATTCAGATGGATTATAAAAAATACTATGACTGGGTGGTGGTGACACATAACTTTAATCCCAGCCCTTGAGAGTTAGGTGGATCTCTTAGTTTGAGGCCAGCCTGGTGTGCAGAGTGAGATCCAGGACAACCAGAAATATGTAGTGACAACCAAATTAAAAAAAAAAAAAAGACTATGTGCTCTCCCAGAGAAGAGTTTGTGTGTTTGAAATGATCATTTTTTAAATTAAAAGAATAATCTATGAAAACCCATTTAATAAATTACATGTGAAATTTAGCAGACTTAGCCATTCACATTCTTCCTACATCACAAAGAGAGGAAATATACAGTATGTGCACATGTAACACTTTGATCCCAACAATATGTGTTACTTAGACTTCTGAATCCATCTGAAGAAGCCTCGATGTACTTTCAAACCTACAGGCTTATATGGGCTGCACCATTTTGTCAGTGTAGGATCCTCCATATTTTGCAATGTTTCTGTCATTTACTACTATTTCTTTGAATTCCTCAGCATAAAGGACCTTCTAGTAATGACAGACTTGAATACTACAATAAAAAACACTGGTTCTCCATACATGTCTCTCCTATGTATTACAAACCATATTTTCACTGAAAATATCATCCTGATTCCAGAATGTAGACTGGATTATAGAAGATCAACAGTTTAACCCTTTTATCTAATTTTTCTAGGTGATAGTTCCAATAATTTCTAATATTCTGACTTGCCTAGCAAGTTATGGTAACTCTATTCCAGAGATGCAGACTCAGAGGGTTAGTTAGAAAGTGTTCTCTAGATGTCACATGTGACACCTGGAATTGGATGCACAATACATTTCAATGAAATTAAACACAATAAGCAAGGAATTCCCCAGTGTACCAAGTAACACTGATCACAGTGCCACACTTAAATTCCCACTGTAGTCTTTGGGAGTAGAGAAGGAGCCAACATGATCCTGCCTTGCCTGTCTGGAACCAACAGTTGCCCATTCTGGGACCAGATAATTAATCAGTCCGTACAGTAATGGATTGTGCTTTGGAAACATGCAATACAGCAAAAGATCATCAGATGCAGGGAAAGCTTCAGAATTATCTGAGTAATAACACAGTCTTTTGATCCCATTGTCCCTGGTTATATGAGGACAATTCATACTTGTCTCCAGCGGATGCATTTATTCTGTAAAGATCCTACATCTCTAAAGGCATTTTTGATACTATTTTATATATTTGTAGGGGACATGGCACTATATTTAATTGTTAACAAAAAATAAGAAAGCACATTATTTTCAGAAGTACAGAAAACCACAGGCTTTTAAATTGATAACCCACTCTTTCACAGTTTTAATTAGGAAGAACTTTGTGTTCTAAGTACAATGTATTTTTAAGTTTAAAAAGTTTATTTTATTAAAGTAAAGAAGACAGTTCATCTGGACCATTTTAGTGAACTCAAATTTTGCTTGAGTTACTTTAGTAATATTTTTTCCTAAAGAAGTTGAAGAAACATACTGTTGAGCAGAGATACTCTCTGCTCATGTACTCTCAAACTGTGTTAATCACAGTTCCACTATCATTTGAAAGCATATCTTTCGTAACCAAAGACTAAATGAAACACATTTTCTTCAATGTTGATAATGTCAATCTTGGGCTTTTTTAAGAAAAAAAAACTTGTGTTACTATTTTCAACAATTGATGAGCACAAATGGTCAACAAGTGCTACCTGGCATAATTACTTTAACCAAAACCACTGCTTACCACTACATGATCACCCTATTCACTATAAATACAGCATTCTTAGATTTTATCAGTGACAGGTAACTTATCCTGATAATGGTAACAGTTTTTGCTTTTATCCAGAGACAAACCTCAGTCTCTATCAAGTGAGTGTAGCTATCATAAGAAAATATTGGAATCTCAAATTATTTATTTGAAGAAATATGTGATCATGAATTATGTCACATCTATGTCTTTGCTTTGCATTTGCTAGACTTGTTCATTATCAAGAGAATTAAAATCAGTCTGGACTTTCACATCTTTATTATACACCCTGGTGATTCTGGAGTCTTACAACTTTTATCAATTGGAAGACAGACAGTAGTGTTTCAGTCTAGATTTTATCATTTTGATTTTTATGGTCCTGGACTTCAATCCCCACCATGAATTAGTTTCTTCAAAATCCTGTTCCCATGAATAGAATGAGAATA